ACAAACACTCATCAGGGATGAGGTGATGTTGGTCGTGATATTTGGAGTACTCTAGGAAGCAACCAAAGAGCCTGTCTCTGCGGAAGTGGTACCAAGGAATGGTGCTGACTGTTGCCAACGTGCTTCTCAGTTGGTTCACATTATAATAATCCTATTGCTACCCCATGTGACCGATGGAGAAACCGAGGCTCTGAAAAGCTTCGGGAGAGCCATCCACACAGCTGAGCCCCACAGTTACCACCCCCTACCACCCCCCTACCACCCCCTACCAGTTCTTCAGGAAAAGAATGAAGAACACAGAGTTAGGGGTTGTACCCACCTCCCAGTCAGAGAGAATGATCAGCTTCACCAGGTGCACCTGGAACCGAGCCCCCAGGGATGGGTCCCTCAGGAGCTCTGACCCCTGCAGAAGGCAACAGCAGAGAGAGTAAGGCAACACACGTGCTCAGAGTCGGTCCAGGAGCCCCAGTGGCAGGACCAGTGGTAAAGAGGGTGCCCCGTGGAGGCTAGGGGCTGTGGAAAATCTTGTCTGTGTGCTGGAAGCCAATTGTAGACTGTAAGAGGAGCCTCTAGGCCTCATGCCTATGGGTGGCTCTCTAGCTCATGCCTTAGGAAGGCCAACTAACAGAAAGAGCTGACTGGGGGCCAGAATATGAATCTAAACTCTGCCTCTTCCTAGCTATAGGCTCAGGTCACCAATCACTAAGCCTCAGTTTCCTTACAGGCTTCCCGTTTTATAAGGTGGAGATCAAGCCTTGCTGGCTAGCAGATATGGGGAATAAAACTAGATACTCTGTTTCAGGTACCACCTGATCAATGGTTCCCACCATTCCTAATGCTCCGACCCTTCAATACAGTTCCTCATGTTGTGGTGACCCCCAGCCATAAAATTATTTCACTGTTACTTCATAACTGTCATTTTGCTACTTTATTAATCATAATGTAAATATCTGTGTTTTCCAATGGTCTCAGGCAATCCCTGTAAAAGGGTTGTTTGATCCCCTCCCCAAAGGGGTCATGACCCATAGATTGAGAATCCCTATTCTAATGGCATGTGAATAACTCAAGGGAACCTGGGTTTGGCAACTTAAAATTGGAGGGAGGAACCCCAAATTTTAAAGACAATAGTTTCCAATTTGTATAAGGAATCGTTTCATTGAAAAACCACCACCTCGGGGATTTTTAGACTACAAGCCTACACAGGTTTCTCTGGAATTAGACCACGCCTGTAAGTGGGAGGGAAGGTCTGGGTAGACAGCGTGGTGGCAGACGGACCACCTTTGGCCCTGAGACTGGTGAGGTGGATTCAGAGAGGACTTTTCCTTTGGCCTGAAAAGGGTGATCAGGCTGACGCCTGAGCTGTCCGAGAGAAAGTGACAGTGACTGGGACCAAATGCTGTCCCAGAGCCACCCAGGATTTCTTCATGACTCCCTTCCCATCCCAATCTCTGTGGCAGGCCTGGGAGAGGAAGAGGAGACTGCTGGGGCTGTCAGTCACTGGCCGGAACTGGTTCCTAGAGTCAGTTCATCAGATTTTAAAAAATTGTTTTACACTTTTGGTAGCGTATGTACACACATATGGAAGTCAAAGGAAAGATTTCAGGAATTGGCTGTCTCCTTCCACCGTGTGGGGTCTGGGTTAAATTCAGGTTGTCATGTTTGGTGGCAAGCACCTTCACCTGTTGAGCCATCTCTTTTCTCCTTCCTTCCTTCCTTCCTTCCTTCCTTCCTTCCTTCCTTCCTTCCTTCCTTCCTTCCTTCCTTTCTTCTCCTCTTTTTAGGACAGCCCAATAAGACCAAACTGGTCTCAAACTTATAACCTTCCCGTCTGAGTCTGGATGCTGGGCTGATAGTGTCTGCTACCACACCCAGCTTAGTTCATCATTATTTTGAAGACACTGCTCCAGCAAATGGACCCAATCGCTCTCTTTGCATTGGGTCTGGTGACACCACATGAATGCTCACGAATGCTATTGGTACAGTGTGAATTCCTGAAGGTCTGGAACTGTCTTATCACACATATGTCTTGTGTGCACTGTATGGATGTCGGTGCAGTATCTCATGTCCTCGCTGATGGAAGCTGGATACTGCTTGTGCCTTGGCTGACACATTGCCATTCTGACATAAGGGTTAATGGTGTGAGATGCCTCTGCTCTCCCAACCATCAGATCACAGGGAGGAGGTGCCTGAGAAAGAGAGCCTCACATCTTCAGGCAGAATAGCATCTGTTCACACCTGGAGTGCTCATCTGCCCTGTGCCTCTGAAGAGAGAGCAGTGTGTGCAGTCTGCTCTCACTGTTGGCCACATGAGACTGGGGCAGAACTGAGGGACTGTGGGGAGGAGTCTGGTATTGACAGGGATTCCCTGACTTTGCTCAATTCTGTTGTAGTGGAGATAAGAGAAGAAGACAGCAGTGACCTCCTTTTCTCTTTAGGGCCATGAGCTCCGGCAGACCCTCAGCTTCTATGCGAGTTCAAATGTACTGACTTTTGGTCACAAGCCCCGAGAGTGGGACATTATGTCCAGAGGCTCAGAGAGAGAGAGAGAGAGAGAGAGAGAGAGCCCACAGACCCACCAGAGACCCTGAGCCCACCTTCCTGTACCAGCCATTGCCAGCCCACCACCACTCACAATATTGAGGTTGGTGAGCACATAGCGTTCTGTGTCCTCCCGGTGAGCCTGGTGGACGTCGGGACCCACAGCTACCAGCAGTTCCAGGTGCAGAATGTCCCGCAAAGTCCTCCTCCATCTCAGTCTCTGGAGGAGAGAGGAAGGACGGCCTAGACGGGGAGAAGGATGAGGACAAAGGTTTTGAAAAACAAGTGCTGGGAAGCTAACAGAAATGGGGTAGCTACTCCTGGAAGTCAAAAGGACAATTTCATGTCCCCTCCCAGGACCCAGTTCTCAGCCTGAGGAAGGTGGTGAGGGAGTGGGCAGAAGGCCCAGTTCAGGCTGAAAAGAAAAAGAAGAGTTCTCCTAGGACCCCACAGTATGGCTCCCCAAGGCTGCTCTCACAGACAAAGCAGAGCAGGGCCTTAGTTAATTGAGGCACCACAAGAGTCAAGACCCACTTCCCTTTCCCCGGCCCGTCCCATCTGGGACTCTCCTGCTAAACTAAGGAGTTGAGAATTCTCTCTTGGGTGAGAAGTGGGGAGGAATAAAGGCCTGTGGAGACAGGGTCCTGCATTAGAACCCTGCTCTTTCAGGCTCCAGAGTGAGTGGACTGCAAGTTGTCTACTGTCTTCAGATCTTGCCTCGGGGCTTGATCAGTTCTTAGCAAAACAGTCTCAGCCTTGAAATAGGTGTTCCGTAAATAAGCCAACAGGAAGGCGAACACCTCTGCTCCCTGGACCACAGGAGTCCTGCAGTGCTCACTGTCTTCTGGAGTACAGAAGGACTAGGAGCCCAGGTGACATCGTCCTAGCCCTTCAGGAGCCCAGAGTTAGGAGGACCCGAGGATCCAGACAGTGTGTATCCCACCTAGGCCACAGGAAAACCAGGTGCAGGCAGAAGGACACCCCAACCCTCTACACCCTGACTGCTAGCCCCATCTTGCCAGTGTCTGTGTGATGTTGATGGAGGCTGGAAGTCAACTTCAAAAGCCACCCACCTTGTTTTTTAAGATAAGATTTCTCACTGAGACTCAAGGCTCATCAATTAGGCAAGGTTGTCTGGCCAGCAAGTCCCAGGAATTTTCCTGACTCGTGAGCAGGATAGAAAGGATGAGATGTACCACTGTGACCAGTTTTTCTGTGGTCTGGGGAGGATGCACACTGTGCTCTGCCTCTGTTCAGCACGGGAATAGAAACGTGGGCTACCATGCCCAGCTTTTTTATATGGATGCTGGGACTAGAACTCGGGTCTTCATGTTTCCACAGAAGCGCTTTACCAAGTGAGCTAGCTCCACAGTCCATCCCCCAACCTTGGTTTTAATCAAATCACCAACTGCTCTTCTGGGAAAAGGGATGGCATCCTGAGAGACAGGGTCATAGGTCATGGGAAAGCCTTTACCATGAGGAGACCTACAGGACAGGAGCCAGAGTTGCTTGGCCTGGCACCTACCTTGTTCCCAAAGAAAGAATAAATATTTACAACTATGACCAGAAGTGACAAGTTCCTGAAACTCAGCCAGCCCTGCAAAGGCCAGCCACAGGCCAAAGAGGCCAGCCGATGGACGCCCCCTCCCTTGTGATACTAAACAGAAGCCTGGAGTCAGGATTCCAGGGCAGCCAGAACACCGGAAAACAGTTTTTTATCAAGTTGGCCGGAAGCAGTGAAGCTAATTAACAGAGAGACGCAAAGCTTCTCTGACCTCATGTGTCCAGGGCTACCAGTACCCTCAGGGCATTGACTCAGTGAAAACTCCCTTAAACCCTCACCCAAGGCTCAAGAGGACGTCAAGACAGCTACCTGTGAATGCAGCAGCATGGTGCCCAAAGTTAGAGGATGCCTCCTTGGGTTCCCGATCTTGAAGAAAACTCTGCAAAATAAAAAGACATGGAGGAGCTGGACGATGGTGGCGCACGCCTTTAATCCCAGCACTTGGGAGGTAGAGGCAGGTGGATCTCTGTGAGTTCGAGACCAGCCTGGTCTACAGAGCTAGTTCCAGGACAGGCTCCAAAGCTACAGAGAAACCCTGTCTCGAAAAACAAAAAACAAACAAACAAACAAACAAGACATGGAGGAGAAGGAGAAAGGAGACAAGACCAAGGGAGAGAGGATGACGGGAGATATACGGACAGAGAATGAGGGAATCATGCCTCGTCATGGAGGAGAGGAGAGAGGTCCACGGAGATCTGCAACAAAACAGAGCCTGTCATCTTCACCAGAGTAATCAAATTTCCTTTTCTGCCAGCAGAGAGACCACAACCACTCCACCCATGAGCTTTGGCAGCCCCATCTCCCAGGTGATGCCAACACCAGGACTCATGTAATCCCACCTTCTGGAAATCAGAGAGCCCGCAGCAGCTCAGAATGAAGAAGGCACCCGTGAGGGCTCCTCGGATACTGGCAGCATGAAACGTTTGGCGTGTCACCGATAGGCCAAGCTGGCTCATCCTTAGGAAAGGCAGTGGATGGCTGGATGGGGCCCTGGTGACTGGGAGTCTGGTTAGTGTGGAATGTGACAGACTTTACTCGCTGGCTGGGCGGGACATCAGGCAGTGTTTACTCTTCTAATGGATCTTCCTCCCAGGGCAGGGCTATGGGGCAGGCAGCAAGTTCTGCTAGGAACTTGCCTGGTATGGTTCCCAGTGAAGAGCATCCCAACTAAGTCTTGCACTAGGAAAGCTCTCCTGCTGTGTACACCTAGCCTCCTGGCAGGGTCTGGCCTAGCAGTTCAGTCTGGACAGGAGCAAGCTCTAGATAGGACCCTTGGGTTGTGGGCTCATGTGAAGTGACAGGCCCTGGGTGGCTGGAATCGCTGACTGACCAATGCACTAAGGACACGACAGCTCTGGCCTCTTGGCCTGCCTTTCCTCTGGCACCTCCATTCCCAGGCTCTCTCTAGCTCTCCTGTCCCTTTACCCTTGGCAGAGTTTGTGCCTCTCCCTGCCCTGTACTTGCAGACACCCTGTGCCCTCACCTCATCCCCGCTGCCCTCATCTCTACGATTTTGACACTGTCCACCTGAGCTGACCTGCACCTGGTGGCAGAGTCATGGAGCAGGCAAGCGGCCCCACATCTCTGCAAGCACTGCCACCAACTGCCTGGCATCCCACTGCACCTCCTGGGAATTTCTTATTCACTTGCTCCAAGACACTCTTGCCTACGCTTCACCCTGCCAGTTCCCTATTACAGTTTGGGTCGTTGTGGGGAGATAATCTTAGTTGTCAGCAAGATTGGATCTGGAGTAGACTAAGAGACACATCTCTGGGTGAATCTGAGGGTACTTTCTGGGAAGATTAACCGAGAGAAGACCTTCCACCAGAGTGGGCAGCACTTGTGTATCGAGTATAGCAGCAGCCCTGGTATAATGAGGTCCAAGGAAAGGGCAGAGTTGTCTTTGCCTACCAGCTTTCACTCCTTGCTCATAAGAACGTGCATCCTGCTACCACTGCAGCTGCCACCACTGTCCTTTGATGGCATCAGAATCCAGCTTCTTGGTTGTCAACTTGACTACATCTGGGATTAACTAAAACCCAAGTTGCTGGGCACTTCTGTGAGGGGTTTTGGTTAATTGGATAATTTGAAGTAGGAAGACCCTAAATCTGAGTCATATCTTCTCGTGGTAGCCTATATAAAGGACAAGAAAGAAAGAAAGAAACTTTTGCTCTTTGCCTGTGTGTCCTTGCTCTCTATTCTCTAGATTCTGATGGTGTATACTGAAGACCAAGACTGACTGAGACATCCAGCCTCATGACTGAACAACTACTGTATTCTTGGAGTTCCCATTGGGAGACAGCCATTGTTGAACTGGCTGGACTACAGCCTGTAAGTCACTCTAGCAAATTCCCTTTAGATAGATATATATGGAGAGATGATAGATAGGTAGATAGATAGATAGATAGATAGATAGATAGATAGATAGATAGATAGATTCTCTCCATTCTATTCCTCTAGAGAGCCCTGACTAATACACTGGCTCATATCATGTAAGTCAATCTACTAAATGCCCTTTGTGATATATATTCATGCCACCCACTCTCTTCCTCTAGAGACCCCTGACTGTATAGATCTCAAATGTTTCTTGAAGGCCCATCAACTGGAGGCTTGATCACAAGTCTGTAGAAGCTGGTGGACCATTTCAGATATGGGACATAGTGGGAAGAAGTTAAGTCATTGAGACTGTGGCCTTTAAAGATACTAGGTGACCAGTTCTTTCCTTCCCAGCTCAGGGTCTTCTAGTGGTCATGAGGCAAACAGCCTTTCTCTGTCATATCCTTCTATCGTGATTCTCTGACTCACTACAGGTCTAAGCAGCTATGACTTAAGCCACAGGCTAAAATTAACCTTCCCTCCTTATAAAGTTGATTACCTCAGACATTTTGCCTCAGTGATAGGCAACTGACTATTACTTCCCAATGATGATGACCTTTGTTTCCCCAGCTAAATCTGCAGCCTCTCTTAGCCCGTCTATGGGGAGGATATGTACCTAACACCCCGTCTCAGCTTGGACTAACCCCCTATGAGATCCAATATGGGGGACCCCCCTCTTAGTTTCCTAAGGCCCCTCATGACCCATTTGCTCACAAATCCCATCTGCAGGCGCGGTTGAAGGCTCTCTAGATCTCCGAGCCCAGGCATAGAGACCCCTGGCCACCCTGACACCTGGAAATCTCACATTCATTCCAGAATTGACGCCTGGGGTATATCCGGAGGGACATGAGAAAAGCTGCAGCACCCACAGCCAGAACAGTAGCTGCCCGCTCATACCTGCAATCCATGCCTCCTCAAGTCCTTGCTTTGATACCCCTGCCCTCACCCCTGATTTCTGTCAACTAGTGGCAGAGCTAGCCTCCTGGGATATCCGAGATACATATCCCCCACAGCTGACCCTGGAGGCTGGCAAAAGATTTTCCCCTGGAGGAAATATTTGGACACGGGGGTTCAGACATCTCCCCCACTTGTCTCCTAGGGGCGAGAAGCGGGACTGTCTCCATGGGTGTCGGGAAGGACTTGGGACATAAAATGGTATTTATCTGACCAGAGCCTGCTGCTGCAGGCCAGACTAGACCCTCCCTAAAGGGGCCCTAGCTATCCCTGCTGCTGCCCGCTGGACTAAGCTACTCTCCCTGCTTCTCTGCTGGCACCTCCCAACACCAGCCCAGGCACCCGGAAATCTCACACCTGCTCCAGGTTGGCGATTCTGTGTATGTTCAGAGACACCGGTCCCAGAACCTTAAACCTCGCTGGAAGGGACCCTACACCTACTGCCCTCAAAGTGGACGATCTTGCAGCCTGGATCCATGCATCTCACGTCAAGCCTACACCTCCACAGGACGACCCAGGACCTTCCAAATGAAAGTTTCAGTGTACCCAAAATCCTCTCAAGGAGGCCTGGTTCTGCCAGGCTTGCTGATCTTTGCCCTGATGTTTATACCTTAGGACTTAACCTGGACCCTGACAAACTTTGAGACTGGGCAAGCCTTAAGGCCAGCCACTGGAGTTCATCCCCTGAATACCTGGTTCCCCCAGCTAACTTTTGACCTGTATGTTTTAGCAAAAGCCTCTTGGGAGGATACTGAGCAAACCCCTGAAAACTTTTATCCTGTATGCAAATATTCTAAATGATATGTTTGTCCGGGGAGAAAAACAATATGGGGGGGCTAAAATATTTTATTGTGCTGCCTGAGGATGTAAAACCAATGTCAATGTCTCCTGGTTGAGGGTTAATGAAAAGGACTTAGTCTCTTTCACCCATAAATAGTACTGACCCCAGCTTGACACAATCTTGTTGGCTATGCTTGTCAGCAGGACCTCCCTAATATGAGGGAATAGACTCATCTGGCAGTTTATTGATCTATGATGGGCCTATAACACTGGTTTGTTAATCTCTGTGTACAGATCCAATTGGTCCTCCAAATTTACTAATATCTCAAGATTGAGATATTTGACCAAATAAGAGGAGGGACTGTAAGACTTTAAGACAATCCTGAAGCCATTTTTGACAATTCTGAATCCTCTCAGCCTCTGTGCCATAGTGCTTCCCCTCCTCCCCTGGGAACCAAGGACCTAACAGCTACACTTGCACGTACTCAGTTCCTGAACAATTACCCATATACGTATGCTTTGGTTCGGTCCCCTGGGAAACGGGGTCAAAATGACCTCTTACCTCATCTGATCTGGCAACAGCTCTCCAGTCAATTATTGGTAATAGCCCTTTCAAATAAGCCAATCAGAATAGTCAAAGAACAACCCCCCTTGCTTCTGTGGCCCCTTTAAAAATAGACTGTACCAGCTATTCGAGGTCCCTCGGCTTCCCGAATGCTGGGGGACCCTGTCATGACAGAATTAATAAAATCCTCATGCTTTTGCTTCGGCTGTAGTGTGTGAGATGGTCTCTGGGGGCGACTCCTTCTTGGTGTTTGGACGCCAGAGTCCAACACTGGGAAATGAATTCAGGACCTCTGGAAGAGCAGCTAGTGCTCTTAACCTCTCTCCAGCCCCCCCCCCTTGCTTTCTTGAGGTGTATTTTTAAATGAAAAAATATTTAGTTCGTTTTTATTTGTGTGCATATGTGTGCCTGTTTGTTTGAATGTGTACCACCATGTGAGTGTAGAAGTCCATAGAAGATGTTGAATCCCCAGTGTGGGTGCAAGGACCCAAATGCTAGTCTTGTGCAAGATCAGGAAGAACTTTTGACCATTGAACCACTGCTCCAACTTCTAGGCTTTTAACTTTTGTTCTTGAATTATGTGTGCGTGTGTTACCACCGTGCGGGGCTGTGCGTGTGAGTGCAGCGCAGGGAGCACTCTGAACTGATGGACCACACCTTCAATCCCTCTCTCTGAGGTGGTGCTCCCTCAGCACTCCTCTTTCCCATTTGCGTTTTGCCTCTGCCCCTCCGCTAGATCCACCCACTCATTCATCCAAGTGGCGTACATTTATCTGAGCTCCTGCAAAGGCTAAGAAAGGCACTGTGCTAGACTCCAGAAAAGTGGCTGTGAGCTGAGCAGAGAACCACTGTGGCTGCTGGGGGGAGAGAAGCAACAGCAAACTAATCAGATATACCCACCATATAGTATACATAAGTGACCTTAAATAACACCTTGCGTTCTATCTGACCATTAAGATTAAAGCTAAATGTCAACAACAAAGAAAATGACATAGAGTATAAAAATTCATAGAAGCTGAGTGGCTCACCACAGAACGAAATTGGGTCAAGACAGAAATCAAAAGGAAATTTAAAAACTTTTTAGAATTGAATGAAAATGAAAATACAACATACTCTAACTCAAACCTATGAAATATAATGAAGGCAGGCCTAAGAGGCAAGCAAGTTCATAGCGCTAAGTGCCTACATAAAATAAATGGCGGTATTAAGCACAATTAATAAAACTCTGAGATGGAAATTGGGATTCAACCTGAAGGTCAAAAAAGCAAAGCAGCCAGCCATTGGCTTTACCTTGATCTCAATCTGAAATGGCGAGCCTGTCTCCAGGAATCTCAGAATGAGTCTGAACCTGAGAGCTGTCTCTTCTTGTTTTATAATCCTCTAGTTCTGGGATTAAGGGCATGCAGCACTTTGCCTGGTTTCTATGGCAAACTAGTGTGGCTACTGGGATTAATGGTGTATGTCACTGCCGCCTGGTCTGTAAGGATGACCAGTGGGGTTGTTTTACTTTTCTGACCCTTGGGCAACTTTTATTTATTAAAGTACAAATGAAATGCTAGTACAGAGGTATCTCATGTTTGTAACTTAATGACACATCTGAAGACTCTAAAAATACAAGAAGAAACAATTGCCAGGCAGTGGTGGCACACATCTTTAATCCCAGCACTCAGGAGGCAGAGGTAGGTAGATCTTTGAGTTTGAGGTCAGTTTGGTCTACAGAGTGAGTCAAGACAGCCAGGGCTATTAAGAATAACCCTTTCTCAAAAAATCAACTGACCAAACAAACAAACAAAAAACAGAAAAGAAAAATAAGAAGAGGAAGAACTAATTAGCTTAGCCAGGCGGTGGTGACGCATGCCTTTAATCCCAGCACTCGGGAGGCAGAGGCAGGCGGATCTCTGTGAGTTCGAGACCAGCCTGGTCTACAAGAGCTAGTTCCAGGACAGGCTCCAAAGCCACAGAGAAACCCTGTCTCAAAAAATAAATAAATAAAA